CAAGAGAGTTGTCTACAAGCCTGCAGGGAACAAAACAATAGTGTCCCACAAGACTGACACAAACAAAAATTGTAGAGGAAGCAGGGTCTACGTCTACAGATTGCACAACGCATGTGTTTCTTTCCGGTGCGGGTTCCTAAGCCGGTGGGCAGAAGCTTCCAAGAGTATAAATAAACTCTAGGACGTGTATGTGTGTATGTGTGTGTGTGCGTGTTACGTGTTCTTATGAAGGCGCGTGCCGTGAATTGTGGGCCCCGCAATGATGTCTTACGCGGTGAAGTGTAGGGGGGAGCTTTGCGATGTGGCGAAATGTCGCAGTGCCTTGTAGCTTGCCCACGTGTTGTGTGGTCAGTGATGCTGTGAAATGTAACGACTCCCTTTCGACCTTCCGCAAGCGAGTCATTTCGGACTGTTGCACCGCCACGCCATATGGCATTTTCGCTGGCTAGCCTGTCATAATGATCAGCAACTGCCCAAGCAGCAAGTTCTGGTCACCCTGCAAACAGCCACAAGATGGTGTCTGCTTGCTTCCGCAAAGGTCTCCTGAAAAAGGATGGAGATTGCGCATTGTTCTGGGCCAAAAGCAAGTGCAGGTCATCATCCGAGAGGTGTTTCGCGGCCTGTCCGCGGGAAAAACAGAACGCGCATGTGGGGGTCCTGAAGCAAGCGGGCACGGCGGTTTCAGAGGCTTCCTTAGGCTTCGACCTTCAGGTCTTGTTTAAGCTGCGCCCAGCAACGCTTGAGGTCATCCATCTCGCAACATTCTGCTTGCACGCCCAACGTGCACCGACATGCCAACAACCGCATTTCGTAACTCGGAACTCTTCTCTTCAAAACTTCCTTCGAGAAAACCGCCCGATGATCTGCCCAAGCAGGAAGCACACCGCGCGACGCGGAAGCCAACACATCATCGGTCGACTCCGTAACGTCATCTTTCCCTGACTGACTGGGAGAAGCCGAAGGTAGCAGAAGCTGTGACCATCACATCCACGAAAGCTAATGACAAAACCGGTGGAAATGACTACGTCAAGTTCAAACCCTCTTCCAAAACGTTGATACAAGATTACCGTCGCCTCTGAGTAGGCGTTTTTGCTTTGAACAAGAAAGGATGCGATGGACAAATGCCAAGAGTCCAGCAAGCATGCACGGTGTGACATGCACCGGAACAATGGGCAGCCGATTCTTTCACGGCGCGCAATGCCACGCAAGGACCTGGAAACCTGGAACTAGTAACAAAGAGCATCGCTACTAGGAGCAAGAGCGCTACTAGGG